TTAAAGTGCGTCTAATGAGGTTTGCGAGTCTGTGAGCAAAAAGGTGTTTTCCTACTTGTGTGAGATGCACCCCATCCCTTGCCAGTAGGCCATCCTCCTGGAAAAGCAGGCCATGGTCGAGGAAGCCAAAGCGTTCCTCCTGACACCATTTTCTAAGCCAGTCATTGACCTGTACTATTTTTCTGGCTCTTGTGGGTCCGTGTCTTACAACAGGGAGGAGGGATGAAAAGACCACCTGTACATTACATTCTTTTAGCTTTGCTCCTAGAGCTCGAAAATCATTTGTGATCTTTTGAAACGTATGCCTTGCAGTATCATTGGTTCCTACATGAATCAACATGAGGGGAGGACGGTGATAGGGCTTGAGGAGCCTGGTGAGCCTCTGAGTGATATGGTGTATTTTTGCCCCCGGTAGGCAGCATATTTCTCGAGCCATCCCCTCTGGTCTGGAAATGACAGCTTCCGTTCCTCTAAGGAGGGAGTCGCCTACTACCAAGACCTGTTTACTTTCGGGAATGACAGGGCCCCTTTTGTGCAATGTAGTGTGTAGGTCTCCAGAAAAGTGATCGTGTTGGTGTGAATTGTGTAGGTGAAAAGTGTTGTCCTCCTCCTCGACATCCCCGGTGCATTCGTCAAGGACAATCCATTGAGATTCGTCCAAGAGCCTATGGTTCTCCTGTATGTTTTCCTGTTGCACCTGGTCTATGGTTGGGGATGGTACACCTGCACGATTGTGCAAGTGTGAATGTTGTGAAGTGTTGTCCCAGTCAGGGCTATCCCCTGCACACTGATCAAGGATGAGCCACTGATCAGTATCTAAGCCATTCTGGTCTTCCCCAATATGTTGTGTTTCTTGGTCAGGTGATAGTTGTGTGAGAATTTGGAATCTATTGTGTAACTGCAGCTGAGCGGAAGTATTCTGAGGAGGCTTCCGGGTCCTATGTGTCCTTCTAAGGGTGACATTTCTCCAAGCCTGAGGGTTGTCCACATCTGAGGTGCTGTTCTGTTGAGCCTCCCCGTAATGTTGGTGTGATATGGGCTGCGTGTCTAGGACAGTGTGGTGTGTGGTGTCTAAGAACAGCTCAAGTTCCTGAATGTCCTTAAGGGTCTTAATACGGTCCTCGAGTTGTCGGATCCTGTGTTCCATGCGAGTGATCTGTTTACACTTGGGGCAGTTGTAATTAAGTAATTGTAGTGTGAAAAAGCTGAACATGCCACAGCTTGTGCATGAGATGGGAAGTTTTCGTGTTTGTTCCATCTGGAGGTTGCTAATGACCTCCTCTTGGTGTGTGTTTTATGTTGTTGTCTGTATGCAGGGGTGAAAGTATAGGTTACTGAGTGTACGAGTTCGGCGCGCGCGACACTGGTTTATATAGGATAACCAGGAAGCCCCGCCTCTCAAACAAAGCAGTTAATTTTTAAACTCAGGAAGCCCCGCCTCTCAAACAAAGCAGTTAATTTTTAAACTCAGGAAGCCCCGCCTCTCAAACAAAGCAGCACTGAAAGCAGTTAAATTTAACCAAAGCTTATCCTGAAGCAGAAGGAAACAAAATGGGTTCCTGCTTCCTCAACTTCTGTGGAAAGCCCAGCTGCCCCTTGGGTTCAGACACTGGTTTATATAGGATAACCAGGAAGCCCCGCCTCTCAAACAAAGCAGTTAATTTTTAAACTCAGGAAGCCCCGCCTCTCAAACAAAGCAGCGCTGAAAGCAGTTAAATTTAAACAAAGCTTATCCTGAAGCAGAAGGAAACAAAATGGGTTCCTGCTTCCTCAACTTCTGTGGAAAGCCCAGCTGCCCCTTGGGTTCAGACACTGGTTTGCCCTATTTGAGCAAAGTCCTGGAACATGTGATGGCCTCGCAACTCCAGGGATTCTTGGAAGACACGGATTATCTAAATCTGGCACAGTCTGGCTTTATGCCGGGACATGGTACTGAGACAGCCTTGGTTGCCTTAGTGGATGATCTATGCTGGGAGCTAGACAGGGGAAGTGTGTCCCTGTTGGTTCTGCTGGACCTCTCATTGGCCTTTGATACCGTAGACCACGGTATCCTTTTGGGACACCTTGCAGGAATGGGCCTTGGAGGTACTGCTCTGCAGTGGCTCCAGTCCTTCCTGAAGGGTCGCTCCTAGAAGGTGTTGTTAAGGGACACCTGCTCGGCCCCACGGCCATTGTACTTTGGGGTCCCGCAGGGCTCAGTACTGTCCCCTATGTTGTTTAACATCTACATGAAGCCGTTGGGGGAGATCATCTGGCATTTCGGGGTTCGGTGCCATCTGTACGTAGATAATGTCTAGCTCTGTCACTCCTTTCCACCTGTTACTAAGTCCTGAACCAGTGCTTGGCAGCTGTAATGGATCGGATGAGAGTGAATAAATTGAAATTGAATCCAGACAAGACAGAGGTACTCCTGGTCAGTTGCAAGGCCAAACAGGGTATAGGATTAGAACTAGTGCTTGATGGGGTTACATTCCCCCTGAAGGCGCAGGTTCGCAGCTTGGGGGTGATCTTGGACTAATCGCTGAGCCTGGAACCCCAGGCTCAGGGGGAACTTTTGCACAGTTAAAACTTGTGCACCAGCTGCACCCGTATCTTGGGAAGGCTGACTTGGCCACAGTGGTCTACGCTCTGGTTACATCCCAAACAGATTACTGCAACACACTCTACATGGGGTTGCCTCTGAAGACTGCCCAGAAGCTTCAGCTAGTCCAACATTCAGCAGCCAGGTTGCTCACGGGAGCGGGGTATAGGGAGTGGACAACTCCCTTGTTACGCCAGCTCCACTCACTGCCTATTAGCTTCCAAGCACAATTCAAAGTGCTGGTTTTAACCTATAAAGCCCTGAATGGTTCTGGCCCAGTTTACCTGTCCAAATGGGTCTCCCCCTATGAACCATCAAGGATTTTAACATCATCTGGGGAGGCCCTGCTCTCAGTCCCCCCACCATTGCACTCATGTTTGGTGGGGATGAGAGACAGGGCCTTCTCCGTGGTAGCCCCTCAGCTGTGGAACTCCCTCCCTAAGGAGGTTAGATTGGCCCCTTCCCTCTTGACCTTCCGAAAGAAGCTTAAACCCTGGCTGTGGGAGCAAGCATTTACAGATTAGACTGTTTTTACTGGCAATTATGAGATTTTATTGGACTGCAATTTTGGATGGATTTGGATGACGTTTTTAACCTGGCAAACTGTTTTAATTCATATTTATATTGATTTTTATGTATGGCTTGTATTTTATTGTTTGTTTTATTGTTTTGGCATAGGATTGTTGCCTGTTGGTAGCTGCCCTGAGTTCCAAATAAATAAATAAATAAATAAATAAATGCCATTAGCCACAGATGCAGGCAAACATTAGGAGAAAATGCTACTGGGACACAGCCATGCAGCCCAAAAAACTCACAGCAACCTATTTGAACAATAGTTTGTGTTTGACCTCAACATCTTGTAACTTATACAGGCTTGTAACTTATACAACGAGATTCATTCACAAAAATACCCACAGCAAGAGTCACATGAAGAGATCACAAGCAGAGTGAGAGTGAGTATTTCATTCTCCTTTTATAGCTATCTGCTGTCTTGTCATCAGTGAAGGACAAATGAATGATGCAACCTCTGGTCATACATCTCACATGATTATGACTCATTAATCTCTGCAGTCCCCTTGAGTATTTCATCATACCCTCTCAGTAATTCCCCAGGTATTGATCACATGACCATCAGAACTGTGCTGGTACAGTTGTACCAGGAGCTCCATTTCTGTTTGCTTTGCATTAAATGTTTGTTTGCAATCCCAGGCTTGGGATTTTGCAGCAGGGTGGCTTCCTGCTATAGTTTGCAATCATAGGGCAAGCCACCTGTCAATTATAGTTAGGTTCACTGGTCCTGCCCCTTTTTGAGTTTTAGAGGGAATAGGAGCCATTTTGAGTTCAGTCTACACAGAGCAGCTTTCGCACAGGACATAAAACGAACAGCTCCTGTAGAAAGCTTTGTCTTCTACGGCTTAGCCGGGGAGATATACAGCCTACAGCCTGACTGGAGTTATATAGCCTTACAGCTCCTCTGCTGAGGGACTTCAGCCAGCCATCACAGCAACCTGAACTCCTTCTTTTTTCCTGGAAGTCTACAAAGCTCTGCTTGGTAAGGGTCACCTGCGGAAGCCAGAAGCAGTTGGTACCGGGTGTAAGGGCTCCACGCCAACAGAGGCAAGTATAGACTGCCCAGATTAGAAGTTAAGGATTTCCCCATTAGTTAATTACAGTTAAGAAGATAGTGCCTGTTCCCAGTGAACAAGACTGAAAGAGCCTATAGACTGTTAAGAAAGCTTGAAAGTACCTGTTTGTTTTCAGCAATAAAGAACTTTGTTGGGTTTACTTTAAGTCTCTACAGAACTTTGTTTTGGGGGAATCTAAGGGCCTTTAATTTGAGGCAGCCCCGGCGTCCCGTTGGGCACAGAGAATTTATGTCCTGTCTACAGTTTTATGCACAGGCCCAGCGTGCGACAGCACAAGAACTGTATTTTGCACACAGATTAAATGCTCAGGCATTTCTATCTTAAATAGATGTAACCCCAAATTAAGTATCCTTTGACACCCCTTATCTCTTGTGAACTATGGCACAGCAGACTAACCTACAGAGTAACATCTTCAACCTGGCCTCCTCATAGATCATGTCAAAACCATGGACCATGTCACACTACACACAGCTATAGCACTTTGCAACAACTTAGATGGCCATTGCTTCTCTTTCCAGGCAGAGAAAAGACCATGGAGAACGTTGTCTGGGGATTTCTACATCCTCCAGCAGGACTCCGTGGACAATTGACCCTAGGAGCTGATCACAGAATCATATTGGAGGGCTTAGAGAATGTCCTTAGGAGCTCATGTACAAAATGAGCAGGGCCAAAGAGTGCCTTCAACCTTGGACTGGGCTGCCAATTTGTTCAGTTTTCCGCCATCATTAAGCAGAAGGACATCTGCTCCATGGAGGTTAATATCTCACTTCCCCCTAAGGTTGTATCACAGTGCACTGGCTATTGCTGTCAGAAGACAAGCAGTAATAGTCAGCCTCATCCTCTGCTTGGAGGTTAGAGATACTCAAGGTGGCAGAATTGGCAGAACTATCATAGGAACCAGTGAAGCGTTCAGGGATCCCGGTAGGCCTGTTGCTGAAGTTGTATATCACAAGTTTTGGGGCATTGCCCGGCTTCTGTTGATACCAGGACACATAGTAGCTTGAGATGCTTCCACCTGTCCTGATACAGGAGATCTGTACTGTTTTTCCAGTGTCAGCAGCTTTTGAAGGTGTCTGGGTTAGGACAAACTGGGCCCTGGCACCTGAAAGAATGCAGAAGACATAGAGAGGCCATGGTCAGTTCAACACACCCGGAGAAAGGGGGAAAAGAAAAGTCAGGAGAAATGACAGCTCCTTACCAGTGTAGGACACAGAGAGGAACAGGAGGAATGGAGCCCAGGCCATGGTTGGGAAGTAGGGAGAAAAGTAACTTCCTGGGACTAGGCTTTCTCTGTATATAGCCTCCCTCTATGCTCTCAGCTGGGGGGAGAGAGAGCAAGCAAATGCATGCAAACGTATTTCCTGTGTATTGATTGGTCCTTGTTTTGCCTTCATTGTCCACCGGAAAGATAGCACCAGGCATTGGCTTTGGGATCATTTCGTCTCTAGCAGACTTAGGGTGTATCTACACTATAGAATTAATGCAGTTTGACTCCCACGGGAATCACCATGGCTCAATGCTATGGAATCGTGAGAGTTGTGGTTTTACATGTTCTTGAGCCTTCTCTGCCAAAGAGTGGGAGAGCCTCACTGAACGACAAATTGCAAGTTTCCATAGCATTGAGCCATGGTGGTTAAAGTGGTGTCAATTGCATTAAATCTACAGTGTCGATTCAGCCATAATGTCAGCCGTGTGGCTCTGAGGCTCACATTACTCTGTTACAGCACCATGCTTCCACTTCAACAGCCATGGCAACAACTGATGGAGCCTTAGGGTTTGCCATCACTGTCATTCTACTGTCAAATCCTCTGTCAACTTTCTTTTAGGAGATGTAGAGCAGAATGCATGAACCCACAGGCACAGTAACATATGAAAGAATCCATGGGCTGATCACTGGATGGCAATGTCAGAGCGGGGAAAAGGCTCGACACATTGCTCAAACCAGCCTCATTTGGGAATCCAAAACAGCCTCTGCCTACCATAGTCTCTTTTTGCTAAAATAAACTTTAATCGAGCTGTAGTATTTCAATTTCAATTAAGGACTTCATTGCACAAACTTGATATTCCACTAAAGTCACATTATTGTTGAGAGCATACTTGAGTCCTCAGAGTATTGTGCCTGGTTTCATTTGCACAATGCCTCTGATTTGACCGTTTGTTAGTGTGATGAAATGTGAATTTTAATCTACAGTTATGTGTAATTATAGATAGGTGTTTAAAAGGGTAAGTATTTAAAATAGCATAACTGGGGGGATGGTAGCCAGCTCAGCTCACTCTGAGCTGGGTTGCCACGAAAAAAGGGGCAGAGCCAACTGCCACTTGGCAGGGCAGGCATTTTAAAACGGTCAGCCTGTAGTCTGAGAACTGCAAGAAAGACTGGTTCTACAGTGTTGAGAATCAGGGAAGCAGTCTGTAGTTAAAGAACTACAGGGAAAGGCTGGTTCAACTGTGTTGAGAACCAGGAAGGTTTAGGCTTTTAGCCTGTGTGGTTTAGATAGATCAAGTTGACTTATTTAGATTAGTAGTTAGTGTATGAGCAAAAAGGGGGAGAGAAACCCAGGAAGCATCTTTACTGCAACAGAAATAACATAGGGAAAGAATAAGCTGGTACCTGAAGCGAACGGTTAAGGAAAGAAGCTCAGTTTGAAGAAAAATAAGTTTAAAACCTGTTTAGTGGAAGGAACAGTCCTCTCAAGAGTTGCTTTATGAAATGTTATAAATGTAACCTCTAAAGAAATGTGCCTCTAGGAGTTAAGAAACATTGAAACCATTAAGCTTCTTCTATAATTCAATAAACTTGTTACACTCTTAAAGCCAAGTCTCTGTTACGAATACTTTCAAATCAAGCCGCACTACACATTAAAGAAAGCCCAACAAAATATTGTAAGCTATTAGCTGTGTTATCAAATTTATAAATCCATTACAAATAGTAGGAGACCCTGATAAATCAGTGACGGCCCTACTGCTTCTGGTGTAGTCTTTACAAAGTGGTAGTGTCGTTACAAAGTGGTGGCATCATTGCAGTTAGGTTCTGCACACTCTCATAACCTTGCCTTCCTGTGCTACTGTTGTTTCTTCAATATTATTTTTATTTTTGTGTAATTATTATTATTATTATTATTATTATTATTAACTTTATTTGTACCCCGCTAGCATCTCCCGAAGGACTCGATGCGGCTTACACAGGCCGAAGCCTCAAAACACAATACAATAGAAAACATAACACAACAATAAACAAAGCAAATCAACAATTAAGCAAAAGTAATTGTGCTAGCATGTGCTTTGTTCATAATGTGGTGTCTCAGACTGCATGCTTTGGTATAGAGTTGGTCTTGTCTTGGAGAAACTATTGGGCTGGATTACAGTGCAACCACCTCAAGCCATGGGATCATATTTTCCCACATTTCACAGACGAAAATCAGGACACAGAGAGCTGAGTAACATCAGAATGTGGTTGAAGGCTGTGTCCAGACAAGAAAAAGAAAAGAGCTATGGATAAGAAAGAACACACCACAAAACTATTATAAACCAAGACATTTTAGAAAAAATTGGATGGCTTTGGGTGTTGTCTCTCTTTCCCCTGTTGCCTTTCCAACTGAATGATTCTAACTGTCTAGAGTAAACTTTTTTGCTCCACAACACAGTGAAGAAGAAGAAGGTAGCTTTTTGCCTCATTTCCCCCTTGAGGTTACCACTGTGGTACACATTGGCCTTGCCATCCCATGTGTTACAGTAGTAATTGTCCTCATCTTCAGGTTGAACTCCGGTAATGACCAGTTTCCAGAGATTGTTGGAGGCATCAGGAGAGACACTGAATCTTTCTGGGACCCCTGAGCCTCTGCCCTGGGAACTACTGCTATAATAATGGTAAAGAAACCTAGGAACACCACCGGATGTCTGCTGGTACCAGCGAACCCTGTGGTCACTGATGCTGTATCCAGAGGACATGGCACAGGTGAGATGCACATTCTCACCCAAGGAAAAGGATGCTGAGGGAAGTTGAGTCAACACCAGCTGTGAGGAGGAACCTGCAAGGAGACAGAAGCCACAAAACAGGAGGAAATATGGAGCTATGCCCAAGGCATGGCAACTCCCCAAGGCCATCAGTGACCTCCATTACCTGAAGACCAAGTGAGGAACATAAGGAGGGCCAAAGCCTGAGACATGGAGAGGGATCTGGCCATTCTCTCCATCCTTAGGCAAAGGAATCTACCAAACTAGGACTCTCTGGTTGGCTCTTTAAAGGGGATGAACCCTCTCCCCCTTCACCAATGGCATATCGTCAGGATCCTCCGCTCCTCCCCTTGTGAGAGGCAACTCCAGTATAAAGCCAAGTAGAATCTAAGGCATCTTTTTGTCTCAGACAAAAAAAGTAAGTGTGGTGTTGGCGAAGAGGCTGGTACCACCAAAGCCTTTCGATAGGAAAGAAGCAATACTAGCTTGGACCAAGCTAATATCACATACTGACAATCTCCAAGTGAAAATAAATAGGGCTGGATTCCTACATGCATTGATGCAGAAATCAGCTTCATTGGACATCAGACAATGAATGTAGGTTTTAGTTGCTTGAGCAATCCCATTTCCACAACTTTGATGGTAGTGTTAGAGACTGGGAGTTTAGGGTGACAGGCCCAGAATGCAGGGAGGAGATGAGATCCGATGAGGTTTTCCAACAAGGCTTTATTTCAAGTTGATCAACATGAGATGAATAGCCTTTTGACCATCCTGGTCAAAGAACAAAAAAACTATTCACCCTTTGTGGCGCACTTAACAATGTTTTTATAATCAAACTGGTAAAAACAACACGTAAGCAACTTCTGATTGGTTGTTCTGTTCCTAACGTCAAAGCCTACTAATGATCCTGTTGAATGTCTGACCCTGAGCTGTGGCTTGCCTATCTGCAAGTTGATTATCCAAGGCAGAAAGAATTTGTGGGAGTACATCTGCTTGTGTCTGACTGAGCAAGGAACACAGAATAATTATTCTTTCTCTATCAGCTGCAGCCCTTGGCAAGCAAGGCTCTCTCAATAGACAGGGGTTCTGGGACTTGTAATAATTGGAAATTTATTTTTCTTAATCATGTTCCTATAGTAGTTGTTTTGCATCCAAAATAAAGATTATGTTGGCATACATCAGACAGACACCCATAGGATCCCAGTGGAGATACTGTCTTCATATGAACACCCCTTCCTCTCGAGACCAATTTTGCATCACTCCACAAATACAGTTCAAACAACACAGGGTACATCCACACTTTTTATTTATTTTTATTTATTTATCATATCAGGAGTGAACCAAACAGTTGTATTGTATTTTTTTAAAAAAAACATACAAAGTTTGCAAACTTGGCATTGTATAAAATGTCCTTTGACCAGTAGCTGGCCACTTGGAGGCCTCTTGTGTTGCTATAAGAAGGTCCTCCATTGTGCATGTGGTGGGGCTCAGGTTGCATTGTAATAGGTGGTCTGTGGTTTGCTCTTCTCCACACTCGCATGTCGTGGACTCCACTTCGTAGCCTCATTTCTTAAGGTTGACTATGCATCTCGTGGTGCTGGAGCACAGTCTGTTCAGCACATTCCAAGTCTCCCAGTCTTTTGTGTGCCCAGGGGGGCATCTCTCACTCAGCATCACCATGTCTTGAGGTTCCAGGTTTTAGCCCACAACATTTTAGCCCACTCGCTTGCTGAGGTATTCCAGCGAGTGTCTCTGAAGATCTGGGAAAATTATTTCTTGATTTAAGTCGTTGGCGTGCTGGCTGATATCTGAACAGGGGATGGGCCATAGATGTCACTGCCTTGGTCCTTTTACTATTGGTTGCTACTTCCCAGAGGATGTCAGGTGGTGCAATACTGACTAAACCGTGTAATTTTTCCAGTGGTGTAGGGCACAGACACCCCGTGATAATGTGGCATGTCTCATTGAGAGGCTCATCTACTGTTTTAGCATGGTGAGATGTGTTCTACACTGGGCATGCATACTCAACAGCAGAGTAGCAAAGCGCAAGGGCAGATGTCTTCACTGTATCTGGTTATGATCCCCAGGTTGTGCCAGTCAGCTTTTGTATGGTATTGTTTCTAGCGCCCACTTTTTGCTTGATATTCAAGCAGTGCTTCTTATAGATCAGAGAACGGTCCAGAAGCGACCAGAAGATTGACACTGTTACTTGAATGCCATTTTGAGACCACTTGAACCACGGTTTCAGCCTATGCACTCCTGGGGGATGTTGTTCCATATTATCTTTCTCCTGCTCTGTCCAAATGAGCTAGGGACTCATCAAGCTACAACTTCCATGATTCTATAGCATTGGGCCAGGGCAGTTCAAGTGGTATTAAACTGCATTCACTCTACATTGCAGACAGGCATGTAGCCGGGGGGGGGGCTTGGGGGGCTTCAGCCCCCCCCCCCCGAAATTCTCATGGTGGTCCGTGAGAAGGCCTTACTGGTACATTATTTAAACTGTTATGTTTATTCATATCATGATCTGATCACCATGCTCAATATATCCCATATTTATGGGGGTATTGGGGTAACAATACAAAAGGTTTGCTAGGGTAGACCCTCTTTCACTCAGACTCAGCCCCCCCTGAACCAAACACAGCCCCCCCCCCCCCCGGAACAAAATCCTGGCTATGGGCCTGATTGCAGATGCACCTCCCATGCATTTCAACAGAGCCTAGAAATGTCTCTTGTCCCTCTTCAATGAACCAGCCTCTGGTGCCCCCTTGTGACAGTGGAAGGATGGAGAATATGGACATTGGCACCCAGTCTCAACTCTATCATCTCTAGACTAAATACAAATAGGAAACTCTGAAAATAGCCATGCCCATTGTTCAACACAGTACAAATTGGACATGTGGGCATGAAGCCACTGTCTTATCCAGTGGCACCAAAAATGGGGACATGAGAGAAGCCTCCTCGCAGGATTGCAAGACATCCGGGCATCCTCTGGGCAACGTCTTCGTAGACGGCTGATTCTCTTGCCACAGAAGCGACCAGCATGCAAGCAAGCAAGCAAAACAACCAACGGACCTTTTCAGGAACAACTGTGACAATAATCTCAATCAACATCGAAGGCATGTCAGCTGCCAAAGAACAACTGCTCTATGAACTGTGCCGAGATAAGAAATGTGATGTGCTGTGTGTCCAAGAAACACACAGGGATGAACAACAGAAACGACCCAAAGTTCCAGAAATGGTCTTAGTAGCGGAAAGACCACATACGCAGTATGGAAGCGCTGTCTTTGTCAAATCAGGCCTCCAAGTCAGCAGTGCCCACAACACTGAAGAAAACAATATCAAGGTTATAACAGTTGAGCTTAATAACATCACAATCACCTGTGTGTACAAGCCCCCAAATGAAGAGTTCTGCTTCTCCTCCCCCGAGAACTTTGACAGGCACCAAAGGGCGGTAGTAATTGGTGACTTCAACAGCCATAGCCATGTATGGGGCTATGCTCAAGAGGATAAAAATGGAGAGGCTGTCCTCTCCTGGTCTGAACTGCACAAACTATCACTCATCCATGATAGCAAGCTCCCACCATCCTACAACAGCGGGAGATGGCACCAAGGTTATAAGCCAGACCTCTTATTTGTGAGCGACAGCATCGTACAGCAATGCACTAAATCAGTGGGACCACCAATCCCAAACACACAGCACCGACCAACTGTTCCCAACTATAAGGCCTCAGGAAGGTCAATTTAAACGAAGATTCAACTTCAGAAAGGCAGATTGGACTAAATTCTCAGACATGTTAGATGACATGATCACATCGGCCGCGCCAATCCCTGAGGAATACGAGCATTTTATTGAAATCATGAAAACCTGCTCACGGGCCTCGATACCGAGAGGCTGCAGAACCAACTACCTTCAGGGTTCTCCTGAAACAGCTGCCTTGTTGGAAAACTATTACAGGCTCCACAACGAAGACCCATTTAGTGAGCAAACCCTTCAGGCAGCGCAGAGCATTGTGTCCTCCATCTCTGAAGCCAAGAAAGAACAGTGGATCAAGCTGATCACAGAGGTCGACATGAGCAGGAGCAGCCAGAAGGCGTGGAGGCTGCTAAGACGGTTGAGCAACGACCCCTCACAAACTAATACCCATGCCAACATAAAGGCAGATCAGATAGCACACCAACTCTTGAAGAATGGGAAACCCAACTTTGCCACAAAAGTAGGAAAGAAACCAATAGCCAGACAACCAGAGATTGAGAACAACAACCTCCATGAACCCTTTACATCTACTGAATTGAAAATGGCTCTCAATAATTGTAAAAATGGCAAAGCATCTGGCCTGAATGATCTACGGATGGAACAAATCAAGAACTTTGGTCCAAAAGCAAGGCGCTGGCTGCTGGAGCTGATGAACAACTGCACTGCATCCTGTCAGATCCCCAAAATCTGGAGGAAAGCAAAAGTCATCGCCATCTTGAAGCCAGGCGAAGACCGTAATGACCCAAAAAGCTACAGACCAATCTCCCTGTTGTGCCACCTCTACAAAGTTCTGGAGAGACTTATTTTAAATAGAATTATGGAAAAAATAGACCCATGTCTGATCCCACAGCAAGCTGGCTTCAGAAAAGGCAAAAGCTGCACATCACGAGTGTTGAATGTGACTCAGCACATAGAAGATGGCTTTGAAAGGCAGCAGATCACAGGAGCTGTCTTCATAGACCTGTCAGCGGCTTATGATACTGTGAACCACCGCCTCCTCCTGAGAAAAATGTATAATATCACAAAGGACTACCACCTCACCCACCTCATAGGAAACCTGCTACAAAACAGGAGCTTCTTTGTTGAGTTCCAGGGCCAGAGAAGCAGATGGCGGAAACAGAAGAACGGCCTGCCCCAGGGGAGCGTGCTTGCTCCATCCATGTTCAACATCTACACAAATGACCAGCCACTGCCAGAAGGGACAGAGAGTTTCATCTATGCTGATGATCGTGTCATTACTGCTCAAGCAGGGAGCTTTGAGATGATAGAACAGAAGCTTTCCAAAGCTCTAGGTGCTCTTCCTGCCTATTACAGGGAAAACCAGCTGATCCCTAATCCATCTAAAATACAGACATACGCCTTTCACCTTAAGAACAAACAAGCATCCTGAGCTCTGAGGATTACCTGGGAAGGAATCCCACTGGAGCATTGCAGCACACCCAAATACCTGGGAGTCACTCTGACCTTCCGACCTACAAGAAGCACTGCCTGAACATCAAGCAAAAAGTGGGTGCTAGAAACAATATCATACGAAAGCTGACTGGCACAACCTGGGGATCACAACCAGACACAGTGAAGACATCTGCCCTTGCGCTGTGCTACTCTGCTGCTTGAGTATGCATGCCCAGTGTGGAACACATCTCACCACACTAAAACAGTGGATGTGGCTCTTAATGAGACATGCCGCATTATCACGGGGTGTCTGCGCCCTACACCACTGGAGAAATTACACTGCTTAGCTGATATTGCACCACCTGACATCCGCCGGGAAGTAGCAGCCAATAGTGAAAGGACCAAGGCAGAGACATCTCCAGCTCATCCCCTGTTTGGGTATCAGCCAGCACGTCAACAACTTAAATCTAGACATAGTTTTCTAAGATCTACAGAGACACTCACTGGAACACTTCAGCAAGCGAGAGTCCAAAAGTGGCAGGCTCAAACCCAGAACCTCAACCAGTGGCTGATACCGAAATGAGAGACTCCCCCCTGGGTACACAGAGGACTGGGCGACTTGGAAGGTGCTGAACAGACTGCGCTCTGGCACCACGAGATGCAGAGCCAACCTTCAGAAATGGGGCTACAAAGTGGAATCCTCGACATGCGAGTGTGGAGAGGAGCAAACCACTGACCACCTGCTGCAATGCAACCTGAGCCCTGCCACATGCACAATGGAGGACCTTCTTGCAGCAACACCAGAAGCACTCCAAGTGGCCAGATACTGGTCAAAGGACATTTAATCAACTACCAAACTCACAAATTTTGTATTTTGTCTGTTTGTTTGCTTTGTTCTGTTAGAAATGTAATATAATTGACTGGTTGCCCTGACACGACAAATAAATAAAACCAAAAATTGACTTAGATCTGGGCATGGCATCATACCAAGTGGACATGTCCCTCCCTATTCGAGGAGAAGATGGGGCAATGCTGACAGGGGGTAGGGAAAAGGCAGAACTACTTAATGCCTTCTTTGCCTCGGTCTTCTCACAAAAACGAAGTCATCTTCAACCTCAGCAAGATGGAGTGGATGAGGGATTAGAGGACATCCAACCACAAATTGGGAAAAAAGTCATCCAGGAATACTTGGCCGCTCTAAATGAGTTCAAGTCCCCAGGGCCAGATCAACTACACCCAAGAGTATTGAAGGAACTAGCGGAAGTCATTTCGGAACCATTGGCAACCATCTTTGAGAGTTCTTGGAGAACAGGAGAAGTTCCAGCAGATTGGAGGAGGGCCAATATGGTCCCAATCTTCAAGAAGGGAAAAAAGGATGACCCAAACAATTACCGTCCAGTCAGCCTCACGTCGATACCAGGCAAGATTCTGGAAAAGATTGTTAAGGAAGTGGTCTGCAAACACTTAGAAACAAATGCGGTCATCGCTTAGTCAACATGGATTTATCAAAAACAAGTCATGCCAGACTAATCTGATCTCTTTCTTCGATAGAGTTACAAGCTAGGTAGATGACGGGATGTAGCGTATCTGGATTTCAGTAAGGCCTTCGACAAGTTCCCCATGACCTTCTGGCAAACAGACTAGTCCATTGTGGGCTAGGCAAAACTACGGTGAGGTGGATCTGTAATTGGTTAAATGGATGAACTCAGAGGGTGCTCACCAATGCTTCCTCTTCATCCTGGAAAGAAGTGACAAGTGGAGTGCCGCAGGGTTCCGTCCTGGGCCCAGTCCTGTTCAACATCTTTATTAATGACTTAGATGAAGGGCTAGAAGGCATGATCATCAAGTTTGCAGACGACACCAAATTGGGAGGGATAGCCAATACTCCAGAGGACAGGAGCAGAATTCAAAACAATCTTGACAGGTTAGAGAGATGGGCCCAAACTAACAAAATGAAGTTCAGTGGGGACAAATGCAAGATACTCCACTTTGGCAGGAAAAACGAAATGCTAAGATTCAGAATGGGGAACGCCTGGCTCGAGAGCAGTATGTGTGAAAATGATCTTTGAGTCCTTTTGGAAAACAAGTTAAACATGAGCCAACAATGTGATGTGGTGGCAAAAAAAGCCAATGGGATTTTGGCCTGCATCAATAGGAGCATAGTGTCTAGATCTAGGGAAGTAATGCTACCCTTCTATTCCACCTGGAATATTGTGTCCAATTCTGAGAGATATTGACAAGCTGGAATGTGTCCAGAGGAGGGCAACTAAAATGATCAAGGGTCTGGAGAACAAGCCCTATGAGGAGCAGCTTAAGGAGCTGGGCATGTTTAGCCTGAAGAAGAGAAAACTGAGAGGAGATATGATAGCCATGTATAAATATGTGAGAGGAAGTCACAGGGAGGAGGGAGCAAGCTTCCCTGGAGACTAGGACGCGGAACAATGGCTTCAAACTACAAGAGAGGAGATTCCATTTGAACATGAGGAAGAACTTCCTGACTGTGAGAGCCGTTCAGCAGTGGAACTCTCTGCCCCAGAGTGTGATGGAGGCTCCTTCTTTGGAAGCTTTTAAACAGAGGCTGGATGGCCATCTGCCAGGGGTGATTTGAATGCAATATTCCTGTTTCTTGGCAGGGGGTTGGACTGGATGGCCCATGAGGTCTCTTCCAACTTTTTGATTCTATGATTCTATGAAAACAAGCTCATCAATCAAACGGTCCCTCTTTTGGGGGACTTTAATCTCTGCCTATGAGAGTTTGAGTTTGCACTGGATGGATGTATCAGCAAGGGCTAATAGTTGGTGTTCCTGGCCATACATTAGGAGGGGGACACCATAAATTTCTCGAGGAGTAAGAGATCCCAGGGCCATTTAGCCCAACCCTGTGCCAGTTCCTTCTTGGTTGCTGATATCGAGCTACTTTTTGTAGGGGCCTCCCTGAGAGAGAGAGATCCCTGAGGACTGCACCAAAGAGAGTCCTTAATAAACCTTGGTGAGGCCAGAGAAAGCCAATTTCAGCGATAAAAATATTAATATTTAAAATAATAAATCCTCACCAAAGTGGAAGAAGTTTTTCAAGCGACCGAGGTGTTTTATTGGCGATTCAGCTGATGTCGGATGCATTGCAGGAATCATTCCACCACAAGCATAACGCTAGTGATTTTACAGACATATTTATAGCGAAAATACAAAGGAAAACAATTCAAAACTCCCGCCCACCCTCTGCCTCTGGAGGGCCAATCAGCAGGCTTTCCTTGCTTCTGAGGATGGACGAATCAGAAGCAGGCAAGGCGGGACAACCGCAGACAATGGGGAAATGATGGGATTACAGATATCCTGCCAGCTGTGATGATTGTCTTTGTTTCTGGCCGGCAAGATACAATCTCTGTAAACAAAGGTTGTCCTGTCCATGATGAGTTTCGGTTGAGAATGACAACAGAGTGGGCAGCAGACCTCAGGGGGTCAACGCTGCCCCTTGTAAATCAATCACATCACAAGTCCAGGGTCTCCTATGGGCATCCACAGCAAGCCCCCGGCTGCGGGGCCGAGCAGGGCCGAGAGGCAGCAAGGAGAAATGGGCTGCTTTTTGTGTAGAGCCGGCGGAGTTTGGCAATCAGCTGTTTCCTGTCAAATTATATTACTTAAAACAAAATGATTATTTCTCGGGCGTAGGGATCCAAATTGAGAGAAGCGAGATAGCAGTTTGGTTAGGAATTAAGCACAGAAAAATATGGCACCGAAATGGAGTTAATCTGACATTTTAAGATTTTGTGGATACTGAGATCCGAAGGGAAAGATTCAGTATCCGCGGTTTTAATGGACGCAGATTCTGCCTCCCTGGGATGCCCAGAAGGCGTCCCAGGCGGGCCCACGGCTGCCCGGAGCCCGGAAAGAAGTTTATTTCATGCAAAGAGAGTGTTCAGGCAAGGAAATAACACAAAGTAGCAGGCGGAAAAGTTTTAAAGTTGCAAAACTCAAGTACTTTAATTAGGGCTTTGTTACAAAGTCAGGGCTAGAGGGAAAGCAATAGAGGCTGAGTGTATTCGTAGCCAGAGCTGCCTGTTGGGTCACATTACACCAGTTCTTTCCAATTTTTGGCGGCCAGGAACTGCGGAACTCTCCGCGGCAGTGCGGAGCAATTACTGAGCGGGGGCTGTCGACACCATTGCCACCCACATGTTCACAGACTAGGATTCCAAGTGACACTAGAACAAGACTATATTACTTCATTTGCCGTGGAACTAGAGTTCTGTTGTACTTTATCTTCTGATGCATGAGAAGTGAGACTTTTTGTCTCAGTTCCCCATAGAGACAGATCATTAATGTAGTCCCATGTAGCACAATAATACTCCGCCTCATCTTCAGCTTGGACTCCCGCAATGACTAAATTCCAGAGGTTGTTGGAGGCATCAGGGGAGACGCTGAATCTCTCTGGGACCCCTGAGCCCCTACCTTGGTCACTACTGGTATAATAGTGGTAAAGAAACCGAGGGGTGCCTCCGGATTTCTGCTGCAACCACCTTGCTCTCTCCTGGCTGATGCTGTATCCACTGTTCATAGCACAAGGGATTCTGACCTCCAAACCCAGAGGTTTAGACAAGGAGGACGGTTGGGTCACAACTAGTTGAGTCTCAGAACCTGAAAGAAGGCAAAGGAGAGCATTAGAACCTCAGCATGGATGCTTAGGATAGGTAAAGACAATGCACCAAGTAACCTTCCTCAATTGGAGGCCCTCACCAAAAACACACAGTGCCAGGAACAAAATGACTGGAAGCAACAACATAGTGGCAATCCTTCGCACTGTCTGTGTGCATTTCCCCAGCTCTCCTTCTTTTATCTCCCTTGGCAGAACCAAATTCTACCCCTTTTATGCAAATGTCAGTGCTGGACTAGCTCTTCCTAGTCCAGCATCGTGTGTTGTCATTGGACGACCAGACTTCAGATACTCAGAGTTTGTTGTTTCCCCATTTGCATTGGGATTTTTGATTGTTTTAAAACATACTCCTGTGGTGGACTGAAGATTGCCAAAGAACTATTGAGCTTCTACTTTATTTTTTCCCATTGCTGTGGTGCATAGCTAGCTAGCTAGTTAATGCTATATTAATATACAGATGAATATATATATATATGGTTGTCCCCTGACATTAAGTCCAGTCATGTCTGACTCTGGGGTGTGGTGCTCATCTCCATTTCTAAGCCGAAGAGCCAGCGTTGTCCATAGACACCTCCAAGGTCATGTGGCCAGCATGACCGCATGGAGCGCTGATATATATATATATATATATATATATATATATATATATATATATATATCAACCTGGTTAGAAGTCTATATAATATAGTTTAGCAGGTCTCTTTCTCTCCTCATGTGCCTCTTCTAATCACTCTTATAAAAGGTCATGCAAGGTACAGGCAGCCCAATATATTTCTGTTACACCATCCATTCACCATTCAATAAGTAGGTCTATGTGTTTCAGACTGATGTCGCACTCTTTCTGACAGCTACCCGAGAAATGTAAGGAATCAGTCCAGATCATGGTGAGTTCTCAAACATGTTTACTCTCCACAGCACAGCAGTCCTTTACACAGAATATGTTTCAAGTTCAAATTCAAAATGATCTAGTCAATCTTTGGCTAGGGATGGGTGGGATGGAAGGATTTTTAACAAATTGTGTATATGTGTGCCTTCATGTTTCCTGTCAACTTATGGCGACCCAATGAATCTCATGGGGTTTTCTCACTCAATGAATACTCATAGGTGATTCTGCCAATGCCTTCCTTGGAAATATCACCTACAGCACAGCTGGATTGTCTTGGTGGTATTTACCACACCAGAAATGACAGACGCTTTCTCAGGGTTCTAATGCTGCTTAGTGTCTCCATCTGCTTTTGTCTGAGGCCTCCTCCATTCAATTCAAAACAGAGTGTAGGACAGGTAGGGGATGCTGAACAAAACCAAGACAGTCTCACTTCCCCATCTGAGTCAACGTCTGTGGCACCCACTCTCTGTCACCACGGCATAGTAATACACGCCTTCGTCTTCCTCCAGGGCCCCTGTGATAGTCAGGGACATCACATTGCCTGACCTATAACCTAAAAAACGGGCTGGGACATCCAAGGGACAGGTGCTGGTGTGATGCATCACCAGGCAAGGTGTACTCCCAGGGATCTGCTGGATCCAAAATGGGTAGTTGCGTTCCCAATGTTTCCACTATTCTGTCTGCAAGATAGGGTGACCGTCCCTCCTTGGGCCACCAATTCTGGGTCCTTCAACTGCTGGATGCTTGAACCTGGAAGAGAACATAGCAGCCTATGGGTTATTAAGAAAATATTCAGTCTTGCAGCATCAACATACCACTTTCAGCTCATTTTGTCACAAATTCTCCTCACCAACAAAATTGAGGATGGTGAAGAGAAGCAAGAGCTCAGCCATTACGGAAAATCTGTTGAGTTGATGTTTCTCCATCAAAAGGACTTTATTGGGGTTCTAATGATGCTGTATGTCACTATTCCTTTTCTCCAAAGCTCCCTCCATTCCATTCAATATCAAGAGTAAGACAGGTAGAGAGCTTCTCTTGATGCTCAGGAAAAGCAAAGGGAGTTAGGTTTTGGTCTTACTTCCCCCTATGAGTCAACATCTGTGTCACTCACTCCCTGTCCACACAACACAGTAATACACTGCTTCATCTTCCACCAGGGCCCCCGTGATGGTCAGGGACATTACCTTGCCCAACCTAGAACCCGAAAAACGGCCCGGGATGTCAGCGGGTCGAGTACTGGTGCTATGCATCACCAAGCGAGGTTTACTCCCAGGTATTTGCTGAATCCACGATGGGTGGTTGCTGTCCCCAATGTTTCCACTGTTGTATCTGCAAGAAAGAGTGACCGTCCCACCTTGGACCACCGATTCCTGGTCTTTCAAGGTCTGCAACTGCTGAACGCTTGGACCTGGAAGAGAACATAGTGGCTGGTCAGTTATTAAGAAGATGTTCAATCTTGCAGCATCAATGTACCATGTTTCTTTGCTTTTGGCAGTTTATATCACAAATTTTCCTCACCGACAAAACTGAGGATGATGAAGAAAAGCAAGAGCTCAACCATTTTGGAAAATCTGCTGAGTTGATCTTCCTCCACCAAAGGGATCTCAGCTACTCTTCCTCCCAACTTCTCCTAAATCCCCAGTGACAGGAGGGCAGGGCCTACATGCAAATCTACGCCCCTTTAACTATAATCTCCAAAACACATGTGGATTATTCCAAAATACTTGCAGGGAGGTATACATTTCTCCAGTGCAGACATTCTCCAATGCATAATGTGCTTTATACCAATAGAGGTAGTGCTCTTTTTGACCACCACCTCAACAACCATTGAAAAATGTAAGGAATAACTGAGTCCAGACCATGGTGAGTTCTCAAAAGAGTTGAGTTCTGGGAAGAAATGTGAGGACTCCCCACACTCCCCACATAAATGTGGTCCTTACATGAAAGACCTTCCCTATCTTACCTTCGGCCTTTCAGCACATAGATGATGGCTTTGAAAGGCAGCAGATCACAGGAGCTGTCTTCATAGACCTGTCAGCGGCTTATGATACCGTAAACCACCGCCTCCTCCTGAGAAAAATGTATAATATCACAAAGGACTACCATCTCACATGACAAATCAAAGAATAGAATCATAGAATCAAAGAGTTGGAAGAGACCTCATGGGCCATCCAGTCCAACCCCCTGCCAAGAAGCAGGAATATTGCATTCAAATCACCCCTGACAGATGGCCATCCAGCCTCTGTTTAAAAGCTTCCAAAGAAGGAGTCTCCACCACACTCCGGGGCAGAGAGTTCCACTGCTGAACGGCTCTCACAGTCAGGAAGTTCTTCCTCATGTTCAGATGGAATCTCCTCTCTTGTAGTTTGAAGCCATTGTTCCGCGTCCTAGTCTCCAGGGAAGGAAAACAAGCTTGCTCCCTCCTCCCTGTGGCTTCCTCTCACATATTTATACATGGCTATCATATCTCCTCTCAGGCTTCTCTTCTTCAGGCTAAACATGCCCAGCTCCTTAAGCCGCTCCTCATAGGGCTTGTTCTCCAGACCCTTGATCATTTTAGTCGCCCTCCTCTGGACACATTCCAGCTTGTCAATATCGCTCTTGAATTGTGGTGCCCAGAATTGGACACAATATTCCAGGTGTGGTCTAACCAAAGCAGAATAGAGGGGTAGCATTACTTCCCTAGATCTAGACACTATGCTCCTATTGATGCAGGCCAAAATCCCATTGGCTTGTTTTGCCGCCACATCACATTGTTGGCTCATGTTTAACTTGTTGTCCACGAGGACTCCAAGATCTTTTTCACACGTACTGCTCTCGAGCCAGGCATCCCACATTCTGTATCTTTGCATTTCGTTTTTCCTGCCAAAGTGGAGTATCTTGCATTTGTCACTGTTGAACTTCATTTTGTTAGTTTTGGCCCATCTCTCTAATCTGTCAAGATCGTTTTGAATCCTGCTCCTGTCCTCTGGAGTATTGGCTATCCCTCCCAATTTGGTGTCGTCTGCAAACTTGATGATCATGCCTTCTAGCCCGTCATCTAAGTCATTAATAAAGATGTTGAACAGGACCGGGCCCAGGACTGAACCCTGCGGCACTCCACTTGTCACTTCTTATTCATAGAATCATAGAATCATAGAATCAAAGAGTTGGAAGAGACCTCATTGGCCATCCAGTCCAACCCCCTGCCAAGAAGCAGGAATATTGCATTCAAATCACCCCTGACAGATGGCCATCCAGCCTCTGTTTAAAAGCTTCCAAGAAGGAGCCTCCACCACACTCCGGGGCAGAGAGTTCCACTGCTGAACGGCTCTCACAGTCAGGAAGTTCTTCCTCATGTTCAGATGGAATCTCCTCTCTTGTAGTTTGAAGCCATTGTTCCGCGTCCTAGTCTCCATGGAAGCAGAAAACAAGCTTGCTCCCTCCTCCCTGTGGCTTCCTCTCACATATTTATACATGGCTATCATATCCCCTCTCAGCCTTCTCTTCTTCAGGCTAAACATGCCCAGCTCCTTAAGCCGCTCCTCATAGGGCTTGTTCTCCAGACCCTTTTATCATTTTAGTCGCTCTCCTCTGGACACATTCCAGCTTGTCAATATCTCTCTTGAATTGTGGTGCCCAGAATTGGACACCATATTCCAGGTGTGGTCTAACCAAAGCAGAATAGAGGGGTAGCATTACTTCCCTAGATCTAGACACTATGCTCCTATTGATGCAGGCCAAAATCCCATTGGCTTTTTTTGCCGCCACATCACATTGTTGGCTCATGTTTAACTTGTTGAAGAGGAAGCATTGGTGAGCACCCTCTGGGTTCGTCCATTTAACCAATTACTGATCCACCTCACCGTAGTTTTGCCTAGCCCACATTGGACTAGTTTGTTTGCCAGAAGGTCATGGGGGACCTTGTCGAAGGCCTTACTGAAATCCAGGTACGCTACATCCACGGCATTCCCCGCATCTACCCAGCTTGTAGCTCTATCGAAAAAAGAGATCAGATCAGTCTGGCATGACTTGTTTTTGATAAATCCATGTTGACTATTAGCGATGACCGCATTTGTTTCTAAGTGTTTGCAGACCACTTCCTTAACAATCTTTTCCAGAATCTTGCCTGGTATCGACGTGAGGCTGACCGGACGGTAGTTGTTTGGGTCATCCTTTTTTCCCTTCTTGAAGATTGGGACCACATTGGCCCTCCTCCAATCTGCTGGAACTTCTCCCTTTCTCCAAAAACTCTCAAAGATGATTGGCAATGATTCCGAGAT